GTCTTTTTGAGACAGGGTCTCCCTGTAGCCCCAGCTGGCCTGGAACTCAGACTTATGTAGACCAGATTGGCCTTGAACTCACAGAGATCTGCCTTTCTCTGCCTCCTGAGTGCTGGGACTAAAGGTGTGCACCACCACACCCAGCTTATTTTATTATTTTTATTTTATGTGTATGAGTGTATTGCCTACATGTGTGTAAGTGCACCTTTGTCATGCAATGCTTGTAGAGGTCAGAAGAGGGTTTCGGATTCCCCTGGAACTAGAGTTACAGACGGTTGCTAGCCACCATGTCGGTGCTGGGAATCAAACCCAGGTCCTCTGCAAGAACAGTCAGTGCTGTTAACTGCTGAGCCATCTTTCCAGCCTCTGTTTTCTTTTTTTTTTATTTTTGAAAATTTTGTTTTTATTTTATGTATGTTTTGTCTGCATGTACATAAGTGCGCCATGTGCATGTAGTCTCTGCAGAGGCCAGAAGAGGCCTAGGAGGAACTAGAGTTATGGACAGTTGTTAGCTGCCATGTGGGTGCTGAGAACCAAACCTGGGTCTTCTGCAAGAATAGCCAGTACTTTTAACCATTAAGCTGTCTCTCCAGCCCCTAAAAATTTATGGTTTCTTGGAGTTTAGGGTAGTCTTTGTATATTATATTCTTCTGTACCATTTGTTGCCTTTAGACCCAAGTATTGGTAATAAAAGTCATTTTTTTTTTTTTTGATGTTTGGACTAACTGAAGATAGGACAGTTTTATTTGTTCTTTGTTTTCTTGAGTGCCTCAAACTATAGCCCCAGGCTGATCTCAGTTTCATTCAATCATCCTAGTCTCAGCTTCCAGAGTGCTGAGTTTACAAGTGTGAGACACCCTGTTTGGCTGAAGGTAGAATAGTGATATGGACTCTCAGAATTTTCTTAATTGGGAGTTAGGAATCTACTTTCCACTCTGCTTCCTATTAGCTAAATGAACTTAGGTTCTATATGAATTATTGAATGCTATGAAGGAGTAAAATAGCAATATTTACCCTTGATGCCTCATGAGATCAGATGAGAAGAGCTCTGTAAAAAAATGTCTCTTTTTTTTTTTTAATCAGATATCCTGGTGTGTGATGGTAATATCATTCAATACTTCATAGTCACAGAGAGTAAGCTATGAACAAAAACAATATTATGCATAGAGACATTATTGTCAACAGACACTTTAGTTTTTTGAGACAGAGTCTTGCTGTGTATCTCTGACTGGCCTGGAATTCACTGTGTAGACTAGGCTGGCCTTGAATTCATAGAGATCTGTTTGCTTCTGCCTCCTGAGTACATGGATTAAAGGCATTTAACACCTGGTCGATTGTTTTGGTTTTTGATTAAGTTCAGGAAATTAATTTTGAGAAAATAAGGCAAGTAAAAATTGGCAAGATTTGAAGATTAAAAGATGAGCCCAGGCACTTTTAAATTTTCTTCTGCTTATTCTTTAAGATTCAGATTTGCTATACAAAATATAGAAATGTATTTTTACATATAAAATTTCATAAAATAGAATGTAAGTTCTAACAGTCATAGTATAGCCATACGTAGCCTACATATGACTAAAGAGTGTAAGCATTCATTTTACTTTGTTTTTATTTATACAGGTAAATCTGAGACATTTTCGTAGAGGTCGGAGGAGATCGCTTGCACTTGTGGCACATACTGGCTATCTGCCTCATCAACAGGATCCTCATCATGTCCACAGAAACACTCCACTGCATGCCAATGCACTTTGTCACTTTCATATTGCAGCCAGCATTAACCCAGCTACAGGTAATTATTTCTTTAGTGAAATATGTATTACTAGACAGACTAGAGACTCTAGACGGTCTGGATCTGCCTATGAATTTGGAGATTTAAATTCTTATCACTTTAGTAAATATTTCCTGTATGAGTAAAAGCCAGGGGCCACAACTGAGACAGTTCAAATGATATATTGAAATATCTATTAAAAAAAAAACCAAAGGTAATATTGGCACGTAATTAATACCACCTATACAGAAAGTGGAAAATAAACACCTCCATTTACCTCTACAGTTTAGTCCCTTTGCCTATAAGAAAACCTCAGTTTATGATTTTTTTTCTTGTTTTTAGATTGGAATATTTTCCCCTCCCCTTTCCCCACACTATTTTCAGACAGGGACTGATTATATAGCCTAGGCTGGCCTCAGCATTGTAAGATATTCTCTATCAATTAAGCCTAACCTGTTTCCATATAGTTGGAAATTACAGTATTACAGTATTATGTTTCCAAGGAAACATAGCAATGAGAAAACCAATTAATTACTTGAATAAAATTCTGTCAAAATGATGTGCTTTCGATGGGAAT